GTAAAGGGACCCCTGACCATTAGGTCCAGTCGTGACCAACTCTGGGGTTGCGGCGCTCATCTCGCTTTATTGGCCGAGGGAGCTGGCGTACAGCTTCCGGGTCATGTGGCCAGCATGACTAAGCCGCTTCTGGCAAACCAGAGCAGCGCACGGAAATGCTGTTTACCTTCCCTCCAGAGCGGTACCTATTTATCTACTTGCACTTTTGACGTGCTTTCGAACTGCTAGGTTGGCAGGATGTTAAACAATAACAAATCTCTCTAAGTGAAACTTTCAGCTCAATGTTCCTCTTTGGCTGCTTTGTTGGCTTAGGATGACTGCTTGCCATTATGTTGAATTTGAAATCTCAGTTTGCTAAGTTTTGAAGAAATGAGCCTCCTATGCTTACCTGCAAACATTTTCAATGAATGCTTAAAACAAGTGTTCAATCAAATTTCAATGGATGCTTTTTGTTATTGTATTTTTATCTTTTTATATTTCAAACCAGCCCGTGATTCTTGGATGAAAGCTGGTATAGAATATTTTTTTATAAAATAAAATAAAATAAATATCCAACTCTACCATACTGGAATACTTTGAAGTTTTCATGCACTATTAATTGACAGCACAGGAGAAACAGCAGTTATTTATGTCAACTCTCACTCTTCCTTCATATCCCTCCTCAAAACCGATTTGACTTAACCCCTTTCACTGCAATCCTAACATTGTTGATTCAGAAGTAAGCTGCACTAAGCTAAATGGGAATTGCTCCTCACCCAGAACAAATATTTTGTATATGTAAGGGCATCGGCTCACATTCATTGTTTGTTAATCTGTTTTATGTCATTGATTTACAATTAAACTTCATAAAGCCTAATCCCCAACCAACTGAAACATCAAAACTAAAATCAGAACAAGTAAAAGAAAATACCCTGGGAGGGGGAAATCAGCTACTACAAAGCCTGTTGGAATTAAAATGTATTCAACTGATTATAACAATTTCCAGGAAATGCAATAGTTGGACATGCAAAGGGGAGTCATTTTATAACACCAGGGCCAACACCAAAAAAGCCCTGCTTCTAGTTTAACATCCCAAAGGACTGGAATTGGTAAAATGACTTCATAATTTCAGAGCGTAAGGGAATACTACCATTTCCTCTTCCTCTGTCATGCCTTTCGTCTTCCATACTGTCAAAGTATATATTGTAAATTCTTTGGGGCAGAAATCTGTTCCTTTCTGCTTATGTTACATAGGTTTTTTTGACAAAACAGTTCAGTGGCTTGAATGGCTGCTAGTTTGGTATTGCTATGCCAAAAATGTCTTTAAAAATATGAATAAATGAAATTTCCCATCTTGCCAGACTTCAAAGATCGTAAGATGCCATTCCTTTATGTTCTTTCTAAAACCAGCTGTTTGCACTGAATACCCTATTCTAGTATGCATCGGCACATTTCTCCTGCTTAAGCCTTCCACAAATTTAATAAGAAGCACCTGCAGAACATTGGGAAGTATGAGGAACCGTCATAATCAAAATTGGCTGCTGGGGTTCTTAACAACAGGTGAAATTATTAATAATCATTCTTTGCATGTAGCCTTGTGATCTAGACTCACGGATCACAGCTTAAATAGCCAGCTACAAATATCCTCAACTTTAGACGTAGTAAAACCAAATATAATATTTTTATTCCTGCAGATGCAATAAGGCCCTTAATTGGAAAAAATGTCATAAAATCTGCAATGTATGTAGAACATGTTCTATAGTTTCACAAAGAAGTACCACGATCTTCCTCCCCCCCTTCAGTTTATTGACTCAAAGAATATCATACTTTGTCTTTTTCCTGCAAATCAAATACTGTGGGACTAAGTGATTTCCAATATTTTTAGCATGTCAGCACAGCAATACAAGCACAGAGTGAAAATGAATTTGTAATGTAGCTTTTAACAAAAAACAAAAAGGTAAGATTTTGTGGTGAATATTGCAAATTGTATGAAACCCTGAATGGTTTCAGTTCAGAAGTTGTCAGACACAACTATTCCATTGCACATGAAAATTCACATGAAACGGCGTGGGTGTGCATTTACACATCCTTGCTGCAAAAATGAGAGGAATGTGAGTCTCAGGCTACACCTTCTATCACATCTCATGTATGAAATGGACTACATTAGATTGCAAACATTAGGAAGAGATTTTGGCACCGGGACATACAAATTCCAGAGGGAAAATACTATAATATGAGGTGCCAACTGCTCAAGCAATTGTCAGTATAATGGCAAAAATTGGCAGGGGCAGCTATTCCCTTAATTTTTTTCCAAAAGCGAAGATTTATATCATAGGAGGCAAGGCCTGACCTTAACCTCTGCAGATGCTCTGATCAACAGACAGTCATCAGCCATTGCAGTCCAGGCAGAACATAGCAGCAGCTGTTGTCTCCCTGTTCCCACTGATGGTCTGAGACCAGGTGGAAAAAAATGGTGAGACAGTGTCTAACAGAAAGGAGAATATACCATGGTGTGGAGGAGAAAACCATGGTGAATTAATCCAAGAGACACTCAGAATTCCAGAAAGGTGAGCAAGAGAATTCCTTGAAGAGAAGAAATTGGAATAAACTGAGAAAATATGGAGGTGAGCAGCAATAGAGAACCTAAGTCTCCAGCCCTGCAGATTGTTCCTTACTAGGAGATGTGCCACACATCACACAGTGCAAATCTGGTTTGCTACTTCAGCAAGCTCACATTTATTTATTTCAAAACATTCATACACTGCTCGGCTGTAAAAAACAGCAACACCCCAAACCCAACAACCTCAAGGCGATTGACAAAAAGATAAAGCAATACAACCAAGAAAAATTCACAACCATACTTAAAAACATACAAACACTGTGGGGGATATCTAGCCAGTTTTTGACAGTCCGAGATGTGTAGCTATGTGATAACACGTACATGCAAGCATTTCGTCACTTTGTGCTATAGTTCTAGGTGTATCTTAGAAATACCTCTAAAAATAAGGATGGGTAGAAACATTTGCTACCAGATGAACAAATTGAGGTTGATTTGTGGTTGCCATTTTGGTTCCATTTTGATGGTTGGAATCTAATCTCCAAGACAGTTTCAGGGGCTTAAGTTTCCATCAAGGAGACTTTTTACCCCCATCTTTCATTTTATTTTATTTTTAAAATACACATGTACCCCAAAACTTCCTTTTCAGTTTTTAATGCCCCTGTGCTGGAATTGTAGGTTCTTTCTCACTCTTCACTTCAGTGTTGCCTCTGCAAACTCAGTCGAAATCCCAGAGCAAAATGAAAAAAGACCACTGGATTCCTAGGACACTAGAAAAAAACAAACTCAAACACAGAGAGTCATTTTGAATTGCAATTTTCAAAATCGACTGTTGCTGTTAAACAAGCCCCAGAGCAAAATTACCTAAATGGCCTTATCCCTGGGTGTTTGGGCTTTATCTCAGTCTATATGTTAATACGAACAGTGAAAATCCCTCCCTTTCATGGTTTTCAGTGAAGAAACAGCTTTGACCACACCATTGCCAATCTCTTTCTCAAATGTTTCTTTAAAACTAGTTTAACTTACTTCTAAGTCTGACGCTGCTACTTGTGAACCTGCATTGCAAGGTCATATTTCTCAGGTCCACTTTCCTCTGTTGTTGCCATCAGTCTTTAGGAGAGACTGTAAACATTCCATAAAATATGATTTATTGCAAAATAAATGAGAATCTATATCCTACATCCAATTCTTCCACTTGAGTTTATTGGGGGTGGGGGTAGGAATTATCACAAGGTCACTTTGCAGATGACCTTCATCTACCTTGTACTATTTCTAACAGTGTTATTCCTCTGGGATTTTGATTTCCATTGCCCTTTATCACCTTAGTTTGAAGAGGTCACTAGGTTAAACAAATAATAGTTTTAGAAGAAGAGAGAAGGTGAAGGATGGAATCTTTTTCTTTTCCATAGCAGCACTGTTCTCTTCATCCAAATTCCCCCTTTGACTTCGGGATTCCTTGATCTTGCTGCCAATGCATTAAATATATACCAATTTTCCATTTTTAATCTTTGGACTTTGTTCAGATGGTTGCGCATAAGGGACCTGCCATAGTTTGAGTGTGTCTTCTTTCATATTATTGATGTTTACCAGCACATAAATTAAATCATGAGAGAAGATTTGGAAAAAGATTCCAAATTGAACTGAGAGTTCACCAATCTATTCTACTATATTTTACTGTATTTCAGATATGTGAATACAGCTTCATAGTCAGAATTATTCTTTCTAGATAATTTCACTTTTTTTAATCATTTTTATTTGGTTTTACAAATACAAAGTTATAAAAATCCAAATATATATCCATATACAGAGTTTCCTCAAATCTGAGGACTTCTCCCCACCCCCCTCCATGGGGTCCCATTTTGAACATTTACAGCTACATATTCTTTGATATTTTAACTTTTATATCAATCCATATTGTCCATGGTCACTTTTACACTACAAGTGAAATAAAAATCCTGCCGATGTTTCCATCTGCCTACAGTGGTCTCCTAAATAGCTAATCTTTCTAGATGATTTCTAATTATATTATGTTCCACAACTCAAAAAGTAGATGAAGCCACTGTCAGATTCAGCAAGCTCTCCACTCCCTCAAAATATGAATATTTATATGATGTTCTTCAAAGCATTTTACCCCTCTTCAGCTTAAAAGGCTCCCAGAGCAGCTTGAAAGCAACTAATAATCTCAATTCGGATTTGGGCTCTAAATCAATCCGAACCAGATTGGGGTCTGATCCAAATCACCAAATCAGGCTCTAAATTGAATCTGGGCTTGGGCTTGCACAGAACTAGGTCTTCATGTGTTATGTATTTTCTACTCAGAAAAAGACACATCATGGTTGAGTTAAATAGTTCCTTGTCTCTTTTTAAGCTGAAGCTCGTAGACTTCTCTTCAGCTGGAAACAAAGAAAACACACACATTAAACTTTGAACCAAAGTATCATTCTAGCTTTACTTAATTGTACTTGTCATCATGATAATAATCTTACACGCTATCCTGGCCTTTTTCAGCATAAGATTTTGGTGGTTTTTCAATTCACTGTTCATTTATTTAGACTCTTAGCTCCTTCTGAGGTAAGCAGATTTTTTTTAAAGTTCAGTATACACAGAAGTACTCAGTACAAAACTACATTGGGGTTAAACATTGTTCATCCAGATTTCTTTGAAGTTGTTGAAAATACTTGTTGGGTTTTGCAATGAGATTTCAAGAGGCTTTTTCAAATTCACACACACGTGAAATGGCAGTACAGAGGACAGGATTTTGGAACCCCGATTTCCGCATGTAAGACACACACAGTTGAATTCCTCATTGCTGTCAACTTTTCTAGATGGCTCTAGGAATCAATTTGTCTGCAGAGAGTTAATCAGCAGATAAGGGCATACAGATAAGACTACGTTGAAGCAAAACATTGCAGCCTTTAGTCAATGTAATGTACATTGGTTTCCAAGATTTCTAGGTGACCCCAGAATTCAGATTTGGACGTCCATTCTCAGGACAGAAAGTTTACACCTCAAGGTCACCAGCTAGATTCACATTACTGCCTTTGAATCATGGGTCAATGACTTTGCAATTGGCTGTAACAATGTTAGTTTGAATCATAACTCTGAAGAAAAAAACTCCATTCATTCTGGAATTTTTTTTAAAAAAAGTTTCCCAATTTCAAATATTTTACTCTAAAAGGAGAGGGGAAACCTTTAAACACTGTTTTAAAAAACACCCAATGTATCCCATCCCTTTTCCTGGGCTTTCATATCTCTACCCGTGCCCCTCTACTCTTGAGCTACAGCCTTAGGTCATGTGCAGGGATCAGAAGTTTATCTCCTTTAAGAGTTGGCGTTCCCATATTACAATGAGGCTCCACACTGTGACATCACAAGGCCCCACCCCATGATGTTGAGGGCCCCCCTCCCCCCGTGAGTGCTAGGGGAAGCTGCAGACCTGGTATAACACCACTGCTTTTCCCCCTTAAAAAAAAATGTTTAGGGGTACTCTCATTTTTCTACTCATATTGAAATGCTGCCCCTCAATGAGTCCAAACTTAGATTCACCAAATGTTTAGGGGTATGCATGTTAGGAGCATCCTACTCTTGTGTAGGAACCTGGTAGAGACAAATGCCCAACTAGCATGTTCTCTCCCTCCTGGTCAATCATTCGGAAGCTTCAAAAGCTTTCTTCTGCCCGAACATCACAGTGACTGATGCCTTGGAGACATCAGCACACTTAGGGATCCACAGAGTATTCGCAGTTTGCGTAAGAGAACTCAGTAGCACAGCATTTTGGCTAATCTACTTTATTTACATATAATACACTCACAGCATTTTGACTTAGTTCCTGCCTCTTTCTCATCAGACAGCAAAGAGAGAAAGAACAAAGGACAATAGTCCCACTTCGGGGAACACAGTAACACAAACATCCTGTCTCCGTCACTTCCCACACTGTGGAATGAAAACATACACCTTCATGTGATAGACAACAATCCCATGACTGCAGACATCAGGAATGAATCTCAACAATGCGTACCCCTGAGTACCCCCAGAAAAAAACACTGTATAACACTATGGCTGTGTAGCATTTTAAGGAGGCCCAGTAATGCTGGAGGCCCAGTTCAAACTGGAGTCCAGAAAGAAGAATCCATCCAAGGTAGCTGTAGCTGAAGCAATTTTGCCTCTGTGATCTATTACAGCCATCTGCAGACAACTCCTCTCCTGACCTCTTTCAGCATGACAGACCAATCCCTCTTCACCTGCTCACTTTTCCTGCTTTCTTCTTGCATCAAAAACAAACTTAATGGCCTAGGTACAGAATTGTCATGGCTGCAAGCTTTAATTAGCAGGGGTTAGCTTTCGTCAATAGGGCTGAAAGTTAAATTCACCATTGATTTATTATCTCAGATTAATAAATGAATCAATCATTTAAATCAAAAAGATTATTGGTTGATGACTCTGCATTTCAACTCGCATAATAAAACTTTAAACAGTACATAACATATGAAGCTGTCTTATACTACAGATTGCCTATTGGGCCATCTAACCTAGTGTTGTCCAAGGCAGGTTTCGCAGGTGTGCTACCTGAGAACCTTTAAATGGAGAGGGTGGGGGGTGTTCCACATCTCAAGCAGCAGTTCTATGGGGTTTTACAGGGATGGGGTTTTCATTTGGGTGGGTGTTGTTTTATTTGGGGGGTGGGGTTGCTTTAAATTGTTCTTAAATGTTATATGCCAGGGGTCCCCAAACTAAGGCCCGCGGGCCGGATAAGGCCTGAGGGACTCGTTTATTTGGCCCGCAGCGACCCCTGCCGCCCACTCTTACTGGCGCTGCGCTGCGCGGCTGCCCACTTCCGGAAATTGCTTGTGCGCGTTATTTGCGCATGCACAAGCTTATTTCTGGTGCACATCCGGGTCGGAGGAGGCCCGTGCACATGCACACAAGCTATTTCCGGGGCTCCTCCGACCCGGAAGTGCACCGGAAATAGCATGTGCGCATGCATATGGGCACACGATCCCCCACCCTCCAACCCGCTGTGCGATTGGTGTCGGAGACACCGGACCGAGGTGCGGTAAGTTTGCTGATCCCTATTATATGCTAACTTGTATTTTGTATTTATATTTGTGAGTTCAGGGGCTTTTGCTGGGGAATGTATTTTTATTAGTTTGTATACATTAGTATGGTTAACTGTTCTAATTATTTTTATCATGTGTTTTGTACTTTTTATATTGTAACTTTATGTTGTGAACCACCCTGAGACCTACGGGTATAGGGCAGTATACATATTCAATAAATAAAAATAAAATAAATACCACTGAGCTATGTTCTCTCCCTCGTCTACCCCCACCTGCCACTTTACTTTTACAGTGGTACCTTGGTGCTCGAACGGCTTGGCACCCAAACAAATTGGCTCCCAAACGCTGCAAACCCAGAAGTAAGTGTTTTGGTTTGCGAACGTTTTTCGGAAGCCGAACGTTCGGCGCAGCTTCCGCTTGAGAGCAGGAAGCTTCTGCAGCCAATCGGAAGCTGTGCCTCGGTTTCGTACGGTTTCACGAGTTGAATGGACTCCCAGAACAGATTAAGTTCAAGAACCAAGGTGCCACTGCATTTGTGGCAAAACCAGCTGTGCAGCGTAATTGATTTCAAATTATTCCTGTGAAAATGCAGAGCAGAATACTTGGAAGTGTTGGTGCTGGGTGGCAACTCAAACATTTCTTCTCAATTCCATTTCTTAAACCGACCTTTGGAATGGTTGTGTCTAGCCTGTCTGCTTTCAAATATCACATGTGGGTTATTTTGGTTGTGTGTGTGTGTTTTTTTGTTTTGTTTTTTTTGCAGCCTGGGATTCTTGCCAACAGCAAGGAGAAAACAGCTTTTCACTCCTTAATTTAAAAGGTTAAGTTCAATTCTACTGGAACTCTGGAGTCCTGACACTCGACACCGACTTGACATTGTTATCAATCCTGTACTGGTGGAAAGGCCAATCACAGTGAAGAAAAGTGACACTGAGGCTTCCGGTTCTGCTCTGCCTTAATGGAGGCAGCCCCCACAACAGCCACCCCACCCATTTGCCCCACCACTCTGGACGGCTTCCAACATATATATAAAAAATACTAAAACATTAAACATTTAAAAACTTCCCTATACAGGGATGCCTTCAGATGTCTTCTAAAGGTTATATAGTTACTTATCACATTGACCTTGGGAGAAAAGCAATGACAAACCTAGACAGCATCTTAAAAAGCAGAGACATCACCTTGCCAACAAAGGTCTATATAGTTAAAGCTATGGTTTTCCCAGTAGTGATGTATGGAAGTGAGAGCTGGACCATAAAAAAGGCTGATCGCCAAAGAATTGATACTTTTGAAATATGGTGCTGGAGGAGACTCTTGAGAGTCCCATGGACTGCAAGAAGATCAAACCTATCCATTCTGAAGGAAATCAGCCCTGAGTGCTCACTGGAAGGACAGATCCTGAAGCTGAGACTCCAATACTTTGGCCACCTTACGAGAAGAGAAGACTCCCTGGAAAAGACCCTGATGTTGGGAAAGATGGAGGGCACAAGGAGAAGGGGACGACAGAGGACGAGATGGTTGGACAGTGTTCTCGAAGCTACGAACATGAGTTTGACCAAACTGCGGGAGGCAGTGGAAGACAGGAGTGCCTGGCGTGCTCTGGTCCATGGGGTCACGAAGAGTTGGACACGACTAAATGACTAAACAACAACAACATCACATTGACTCCGCACCTTCAAACATTTCTCTGATGAAAACAGGGACGTCCTAAGAAAAAGCAGGACATTCCAGGATCAAATCAGAAACTGGGACAGTTTCTGTAAATCCAGGACTGTCCCTGAAAAATAGGGACAGCTGGAGGGCCTGCATTTTGGGATCTGCCTCAGGTGCCAAAATGTCTTGGGCTGGCCTTGCCAAATGTTTGGAGGGCATTGGGTTGAGGAAGGCTGCTCCAAGCCCCCAATATTTCCATTTCTGTCTGCTGGGACTGTTGTTTCTCTCGGCCATCCCTCTAGCTTCATTCATCCAGGGGCTTCTTCCTTGCCTCCCTGCCACCTCCTCCTCTCTCCCTGATGCTCTCCAGCACACTTAGATGGTGAGGCTTTCCATCTTCGACTATCCCCTTCCCCTCCAATGGCTACTGATGGCTTTCAAGTGGACCAGAAGAAACCCGGTATTCATGTGTGTTTGAATTGTGGGCATCTGTTGCAGAGCTAGGGCCTATTTAAAGCTCTTTCCTTAAAAAAACCCCATCAGTTCCAAAAAGCCTCACGGAATTAAACAATCTTCATCTGCCGGCAGGAAGACAACAAAGAAGGCAGTCTAGCTTCTCTAAAGGAGGAAGTTCCATAGTCTGGTAGCAACCACCAGCAAGAAGGCCCTCTCCTGCATCCCCTCTAAATGTACCTGTGCAGGACTGAGAAAAGGCTTCCCTCCAAGATTTTGGAACTCAGGCAGGTTCATATGGGAAAATACAGTCCTTCCAATTGTCTGGGCCTTATGCCACATAAAATAAAAAAAATAAAATAAAATAAAATAAAATAATTCCATGTATATGTATATGCAATTGAAGCTGCAACATGCTAGGTAATGTGTTCAGAAAGGTCTCATAACGGTCTCCTACATGCCAGGTAATGAAATTCCTGTTGATTTATTGTCCAAGGTTGTTCCGAAGGATCAACACTGTACCTATGTACAGAAATTGGGTTTGTACTGAGATTGTACTGACACGCTGCCCAGTGGTGTTCACAGAAAGGGGGAGGATGTTAGTTTCTGTTCTTATCACTGTGCAGCTGCTTGGAGTCACAGGACTCTGTTTACATTCCTGGGATTCCATACTATTGGAAGTCTCACGGGAGGGGAGACGAGATGTGACGTTAGTGGTTTCCTGTTTCCTTTGTTCCTTTGTTCAGTTGCTCTCTGCTTCCATAGAGAGAGGATGTATTTTTCTTTGCTCTCTGCGTAGCTTAGAAATAAAGCATAGCATGTAGCCAAACCTCTCGTCTCTTCCCTGTGCTGGATACTCTGCTGTATTGGAGAATGTGCCTTGGAGCCTCATCAAAGGCTCGAGGTCGTTATACGTCGGGAGGCGATTCCGAAGGCTTGGCCGGAGGAAAATGAGGCTTTATCAGCTTGGCCGAGTGGAGATTCCGACAGTATATTGGTCCTATCATTTGGAACATCAAAATTCCAGCACCTCACATTCAGGGGTGGGGTGGAAACCCTTTAATCTGTTTTGAAAGTTACTTTTTGTGTATTTAAGAATTGTTTTTTTATTACATTTTAGTTTCAATTATTTATTACACAATACTCAAAACCAA